GAGAGAGAGAGAGAGAGAGAGAGAGAGAGAGAAAGGAAAAGAAAAAAGTAAAAATAGAGAAAAGCGCGGAAGGAAGGGGTTGGAAAAAAGAAAAAAATATATATGAAAGTTTCGCGTTCTTATTTGCGCCGGGGAAAAATATAAAATTTCAGTGTACCGCCTCGCAAAAGCACGGAATACGCCGTACGCGTTTCCGCTCGTTATGAACCCTTTAACGGCCGTTATTCTTTCGAAATCCGATACCAGAAAAACTGTTTCTCTCTCCCCCTATCGATACCTTCGCCTCTGTGAGCCGTTAATTGAAAATATTTTTCACCGAGCAGCGACAATGTAAAGTAAAATCGATGGAAATTTCCTCGCAAGATGCCTCTGAATTTTACGCCAGCCAACGGAATTATTCGTCTGTTTGTTTCGTTGATTATTATCAATTAAATAGATCGACTAACAACGTTTGGAAATTGTTAGATTTTCGATTTAAACCGATCCAAGTTAGGTGGAACACTACTACACGAAATTTCGTAGCACTTCGGAATGGACGATTGTGACAGAGTTAAGGAGAAATTAACCGTTAGATCTGACTCAAGTTCGATTAAATACGTCATGGGAATTGGATAAGTAGAAACTAGATAAAATCGATACACGACGAGTGAATCACTAGTTAGTTAGTTTCAAAAACTTGGACTCTTGCCCGCGTGTAAAATGATTATTAATTTCGCTGTTCTTGGACCCAATCATCCGACCCAAAAATGATAAATAAGAATATCGTAAGAACGAGAGCAAGACATTGCGAAGAAAGAACAAACAAAGTTCTTTCTAATATACTTTTCTACGCGTTTCACCACTGGTCATTTCCTTGGCTATTTTAAACATGGAAAAAACGTCTCTCGTTGCAAAAGAATAAATTCTTCCTTTAATGTTAATCACCTTGAAAATTTCCATCGCTCTTTCACAAGTTGCACATAATATCGTTAAGACAAGGAAAGGAAAATCTTGGAACAGTTTACGATACGTACGATACGTACGATACCCTGTTACTAATCTTCACTCCTTGGAAATCTTCACTTCACATCTTCACTTTTTTAGAAATTTCTTAAAACACAGAACACACGATTAATATTCAATTCTTGAGGAATGAAATGACACTCTTCCAAACATTCAATACAAGCGATTGATTAGATTGTGAATGTTCATGTATTTATAGGAAACTTAAAGATGCAAAACTGCGTGAAGTATAAATACAAATACGCTCAATACATTTTTAGTATGATATAAGAATTATTAAAAACAGCAATATATATCGTCAAATCGACAAACAGACACCAAGAAATCGTTCGCCTGTAACATTTAGGGATTTCCAGAACTGAAAGATCTGTGTACGTGTATTGAAAACGGAGATTCTTCATAAACAAATGCAACAAATAGAATCATTCTCGTGAAATCTAGAAACTTCCATTATATGGTATTAAAGAGAAGGATAAAATGCACAATCACGTTTATTCTATCAATAAACGTCTACGTCAGAGGGACACAGGGATCCCGATTCGTCGCGATGTCACAGCATTGCATCAATCGCCGTGACGTTCTTCGGTGAATTCCGCGAGGTGAGATCGCGAATTCGCCGCATTTTCCGCGAAAGTCGCACGAAGAAGCCGCGAGAACGGCGCAGCGATTTCTTAGACAAGCAGATAGAGGGAAAAGATACCATGCTCGCGTCTTATGTGGTTCGTTGGATCGCGTGAATGAGATTTCAAGCGGTATGTGTCGTGCGTACGTCACGCTCGCGCGGCGCGAAGCGGCAAAGAGCGGCGAGCTGCGCGAATGGGCATGTGATCGGTGTCGTTGCACGCTGATTCAGCCGGCGATTTCACGTATAGACGCGTGTTACCGCGGGATTTCCTGATGCAGCACGTGAATCGTTCGAGCGTGTCACAGCGTCGCGGACAACCGGCGCGGCGCAGCGTGTGTCGCAATTTATTACAAACGAAACGCACACCTTCGGTCATCTGATCGAGAAACGAGCTCGAATAACGCACACACGAATTTCCTTATGTGTCACCCAGGTCGATTATAATTTTCTTGATTTCATCTTTTTCTCGTACCCTGACGTCATTTGTTTCAAAAACTATCATTAATCAAATTGATCCGTTGAAATCGCGCTGTTGAGATCGCCAATGATTAACTCGGCGGGGAAATCAATTGAAGGAATGACCGTGGCGGTGAAATTTTTAATAGTTACAAAACTGCAGGCTTTAATATAGTCTTGGAAAAATCAAAAAACGCAAAAATATACAGAATGTATATGAATCTTTAGAAATCTCCATGGTGCTTTTTTGCATTTTTGCAGTTGCGTTTATGAAGACTTGAATTTTCATAAGTATCCACCGTGCACTTGTAACATTAGGAACAACGTTGAATGTTAAACAGACTAAGCAGTTTCTAAACTTCGATAAAATTCAGTAGCTGACTAATTTTAATTTTGATACTAAGTTTATAACATCGTTTAATCTTTTAGATATCAAACTCATCTAACGTTGCATTTCGACGCTGCGGGCGAGATCTACACAAATTTAACGCGTCAAGTTATTGCAACAAGAAGAACATTCTTATTGACCGGGTGAATTAAATAAAAGGGTCACTTGTTCGCTTCGTCATCGTGTTAGTTCTTCAAACACTGATAGTGTCGTTCCTGGTTTAGAGATAGAGAAAGAAAGAGACACAACGTGTAAGGAGTTGTTTCTTTCCTTCGGAAACCGTGTCAATCAAAAAGGACCATTTCTCGCAATATCTTGGGTTTTCTGGCCACCTGCTTAATGTCGGATGGTGCGTGGCTCATTTTTTCATGGTGGGGCAACTCGATGATCAAGATTTCGAGACTTCAATCCCTTGGTATTTTCTGAGTCACACACGTGACATTTTATCGCAAAAATCTAGCTACTTCACGGCTATCGATGTTATGAAAGAGTCGCAACTTTATTGAAAGCGAGAGGTATAAATTGGAGATCAAACTGCTGCGAGGATCTCTTGAAAGAGATCTTCATCGACGCTTTATTTTCAATCTAAAAGAACAGATCTTTTTCGCAAACAGATACAAGAAAGAATTCATAAAAGTTGTTTATTATATATTTTACCGCAAATTATCGAATTAATGTATGCTCTTGGAGATATAGGCAAGCTATATTCTCCTTCAATGTTGTTATTATCATTTGAAAATGATAAAAATGGATAAAAAAATGTTTGGGGGAATTGGAAAGAGATTACACGAAATGTTTATTAAATATATCGTTTTAAGAAATATACTTTTGTCATAATATAACATCATACAAAATATAATACTTCGGATAAAAAGATCGTAGTATAAATGTGTTAGTAGATATGTGTGTTCTTTATGTTTACGTGTGTTCTTGATACAATGTAGAAATTTTGAACATTGATTTTGTTCTGTAAAAAGTTACAACAATTGTATAATCTTATGACTATACGACAATATCTATTATTGTACAAAAAGTAAATAAGAAAATAATAAATAGTTTGAATAATAATGATGTTTAGAAAAAGAAAATGATAGTGTGACGCACATTATTTAACAACAGAAGTAAATAATCGATGCAGAAGATAATATCTTATTACATAATATTACGAGGATGTAGTTATCTATGGAACATTGAGTATTGAGCAAATCGAGATTCCCCGTGTCCAGACGTCATTAAGCATTCCACGTTTATTTGCGGATTATCTGCAATTATAATTGGCTTCCAACATTGATTATACTATCTATAGCTAGCTGTCAAGCTAAATCGTTTAATAAAAAAAACTAGTCATTCACCTAATACAGATCTGGACAGAGAAATCGTAACTAACAATAAAGTTAAAGTTCTTAATATCTAACAAGATATTTAACGCGTATTTACTAACTCTGAATTAGTGTAGAGTTAATAACTGTAGTTAGCAACTGTTCTATGTCGTATATTAAGCGTACTTTTTTTTTTTTTAAATCACTGAATGTCGTATTGTCGACACTAATGAATATTAAAAACAATCGAATCGTTACCTACAGGAACCTCTGTTTAACGCGTTCGCGTCTATTTCAATATTGACTTTATTAAAGTTTATTGTTGTTAATCCAATTCTCTCATGTTATGATCTTTCGCTTTGATCATACGAGGGTGTGCACATACGCATCCGGTGTAGATCCTTATCATCTCGTTCGCTTTACCCGGGATAGAGAGATCTATATCATCATAGGTCTGTATGCAACAATGAGGCTTGTTGCTCTGACACCTGTCACCACGGTTGTTCTTGCACTTGATGTGATGCAGATTCTTCAGTATCTGATTGTCAAACTCCTCGCCGACTGGCTCGATCGTGTAGCTGCAGATGGACGCGTTCTGCAACTTGCTCACGTGTATCTCGTACATGTCGTCTATTTCAAAATTACGTCGTTGTCGTGGAGTGATCGTCGAATTCATCGATACGTCGTCGCTTGTCGACGAACTCTTCGTCCTCCCTCGATTACTAGACTCGAGCAAATGACGTATCTTACGTAGATGGATACCCTTATGGCGAACGTGGAACCTCCCCGATTCTATTCTCCTGGCCTCGATCAATTCTTTCTCTGTGAAGTTCACTAGCAAAATGCAAACGAGGATCCCCACGATGGCGTATAGCGACATGATTCCAAATTTGATTGAATCCGATTTGTTGGATTGGAAACAATGGTAAAATACGAACACCGCTCAGTTCATCCAAAGAATACTTTCGATCAAGATTCTCGTCCGATACTCGTTTTTACTGAAATACTCTCATTATTAGCCAGCAAACGTTGGAATTAATCGAGAATAATCCTCGGTATACAAGAGTATGGTCCTCGGATATATCTGGAGGCTTGAATCGCTCCTGGTGGTTTACTGAAAACTGAGTGAACTCTCCCTGTCTCGCTGGAGTTTTAAGGTAGAGAAAACGTGGGTGGTAGCCACCGCATCTCCACCTTGAGAGTGACCAATCCCCTGTGCCGCGCCAGGAGGTACCTAGTTTCCCATCGTGGTGCTTTCTTCGTTATTGACCGTTGACGTCAACGGGGGCACTGTTTCATTTCCTCTTGCAGCAACACGCGTTCCCTTAAATATGTAATATAGCGGTGTTTTCCGGCACGGACGTCACCGTCCATCTATGGAGGAAGAAAAATGGCCAACCGGCTGGCATCAGCCCGCACGTTCGCGGAAAATGGGAAAAGCGGGAGATGGTGGATCATGATTCCTCAACAGAGGTGGCCTGAATGATGGATACCAAGCAAATCAAGCGAATCTTTTCTCTGTTGGTATTTACGTACGACACACATTTCATTTCTTACGCAGACGGTGTCAATCGTGATCGAGAGTTACCACAGAACAGATTGATCGGTTAATAACGCCAGATTTAGGTGGATCAGGAACTCCAACAACCAGACACTTTCCCATTTTTTTACGTAAAAATAATGAGCAAATTTGATCCCGATGATTCTCAACATCTACCACTCGCAATGTACCACTCATTCTCTCAGTCGTTTTTCTCGGTCGGGGAATACCAAGAATCTTGTCGCGTAAACGTCACGTGAGACATCGAAGATCTTGACCATTTTATGAATCCGTTCGTTTTACAATCAATTTTATTATTTATTTTCCGATGTTGCAATTTAGCGTAATTTAAAATTGGCAGCAATCGGAGTTTAATCTTTCCCGTGATTTTTCGCTCGTTACTTGTATAGAACAAGTTTCTTTTTCTTTTTTTATAAAGACGCGTGCACAGTCTCGACGACCAGTGAAAGTCAGAAGAGTGTGCGATTTTTTCTAAAAATATGAATCACCATCTTTTGCCGGAAATCAGATCGAAATACCGAAGATTTTTATCTATATAATTTACATTAATATCGCCGAATATAAATCGAGGTCTACTATCAGATTGTTTTATGGGATGAGGAAAACTATGGGATGAGAGGGAGTTCTTAGAATTTGTATGTCATCCTCGTAAAAGAAATTTTTCAATATTTCAGAAATTTAGGGGATAGAATTATTAATTATCGTAATGTGAGTAATACAAAGAAAAAAGTCATAAAATAAAAAATGTTACTCCGCAAAAGGATTGCTTCGTTTTTTATTATCGAATGCGACAACAAGTGAGAACAAACTGAATTATATTCTACACAAAATAAATCATCGCTCTTTCTTACTTTGTTTATTTATAGTAACAGTATTTCCTCATTATCAAAATTTAACAGAAGTTATAAGAATGTATCGTTTTTATAGAATGTACAAGATTTTTATTAATTCAAGCGAATAGATCCGGTGACAGACTGCTCCTGTTCGGAAAACTCGCATGTGTGCCAAATTTCAACACGGATTCCGTGGCAACGACGCAAGCTCTTCGGATGCACTCGTCCATCGAAAGCGTTGGGTGATAAGCTTTAAAATATGCAAAAGCGCCCAGAAATGCATCTCCAGCTCCCTGCGCATATATCGTGAATATTAGCAATACGATTTTATGGACAGTCGTCCCTTTAGTTTATAAATTAATTGTTGAGCACGAACGCGTATTTTTTTCTGTAAATCATGCATCATAAGGGAACAAAATAGCAAACTTACAAATGAAAGGTAAAAAGATTAAGAAAAAGATGAAAATCATTCTTAAAGCTAAAAAAAAAACAAACAAAATGCCCAAATATTATAGATATATCTGCATATTGGACGAACGTAATTATTCAACACACCGTTGTATCCACAGCTTGAACGCGAGTGGTACAGACTTTTTTAACTGTTCTGTCTTCCTGAGACGCGTACACAGCACCCTGTTCTCCAAGAGTAATAATCACTGTATTACAACCTTTATCCAACAATTTTACAATAGCCTGCTGTATACTTAATGGTCCCTGTAGCTGCACTCCAGTTATAACTTCCGTCTGCAAATGCATGTATGTTTCGATTAAATAAAAAAGAAAAAATCCTAACAGAATAAAAAATTAATTTTATAATCCCAGTTTGAGGATACCTCGGTCTCGTTAACGCAAAATATGTCGCAGAATTTCCACAAGTCTGGGTGGACATCTTTAGTGGCGGGTGCCCCATTCACAATCGACAGACCTATCGTATTATATTTTCTATAGTTAATCTATTGGTAATCCATTTTTCCATGAAAAAAGGAAACATCGCGAATGACAACTAACCGTGGCCTTTGAAAATCTTCAAAGCATGTAGAGTGGTTTCTAAGGGTATCTCAAATTGGCATAATAAAACGGCAGCATTCTTAATCATGTTGGTTGCTGAGTCCACATGGTTGATACTCATCAACGCGTTCGATCCTAATACAATTACTATGCTGTTTTCGCCTAAAATTGTCAAATTTTATGCACTTTGAAAATTTATAGAAATAAATTTCATTAAAGTCTGACGAAATTAGACTTGACTACTCACCATTCTCTGCAACAGTAATATGTGCTATTCCACTATGATGGTTTGGTTGTATTTGAACATGAGAAGCATCTATGTTTTCTTCCTTAAATATTTTTAAATACTCTTGGCCATAAATATCAGAACCTAACTGTAATTAATTAAAACAATTTGATTAAATTTATTGCTTGAAGAAATTATTGCATGTAGAATAATTCATTAAAGGACTAAACAAAACTAAAACCCATACAGAAGCAATGATTGCTGTAGCAGCACCAAGTTTACTAGCAGCTACACACTGATTAGCACCTTTTCCACCATACTTTATTTCATATCTATTACCAATTATTGTTTCACCAGATTTTGGTAAACGAGGAGAAAAGCTAGAAAACAAATATAATCTTATCATGGTAAAAGATGAAATGGTATATAGTAAAGTAAAAATAATGAAATATAATAATAAGTATAATATATTTAATTTCAATATAAAATTTGAATAAATACAAATATATATTTTTGTAATGCATTTAACATCACTAAATACAAAGACTTTATTTTTAAAAAAATATAAAAATTAAATTCAGATAGAAATGTATCATATCAAATTAGTTTCAGTTATTGAAATATAGAAAAAAACTTTTCAAATGAAAAAAAAATTGTTCTTATTAATCTTTATTTTGTAATATTAGCACATTATAGATATTCCGGAAGGTAAACCAAACTTCTTGTATCCATGGTAAGCAAAATTATCACTTACCAAGTGAAATCAATCATGCATGAACCAACAGTAACAATTTTTGGAGACATTTCTTTACAATTTACTTTAGTTGCTCTTTAAACTTTTAAAAACAGAAATCTTTATCGAGGTTATGTAAATAGTTATGCCTGTGAAAACTGGAGCTTTTAACGAAAAAGCGTATTTATACTTCATGTAAACTGATACGATTATCTGAATTTATCACAATTATCGCATGGATCATTGAATGCATTCAATCATTTATTATAGATATAACCTAAATGAAATGAATTATGCAAGTATGAAATATACAATACAACCTTAGTTTTAGATAATAACATACATATACGATTCGAAAAAAAATATAAATGTTAAGATTTTTATTGTTATTTAACTTCTAAAATACACATTTTATTGCACAACAAATGTACATACACGTAATCATTATTAGTTCATACATGTCATCATAATAGATAAAATTATCTTCTCCACTTTTTAAAATTTATACTAACACTTCCAATTATGGAAAGTAACAACATGATTGTAGTTAAATAAAAAAGAAAAGAAAACAAAGTTACGATGATTTTTTTAAATATACGGACATTGACTAAAGATAGAATAGACTCGATAAAATCATTTCGTCATGGACATTCAAACACTAACACCACGTAACGGTGAAATGATGGAACTAATCGCTATTATTGTCCTTATCGCACACAATTGTGCTCCTTGAGCTACCTTCGTCGCGCACTACTTCAATCCTTCTTTATGAATAGATTATATATTGCTATCTACTGGAATGAACGAGAACCTTTCGTTTCAATCGAATCCGATAGATGGCAGCACATAGTTTGTTCTTATAGATACGATAACAGTAAATGATAAAATCACCGTACTACAAAAGGAAATTTTATATTTTATTTTAACGTTTAAATAATACAGGATATTACTTGGCAACTGTTTATTAATTTCTTGGCAACTTATATACATCTTTGGTAATATGTCTCCATGGTAACTTTTGATGAGACAGTTGAATAGGAATAGGTCGCTACATTTTTTTGCCGATTTATTTCATTTAAACTTCGTAGATCAATTTCGTATCATTTTTAATATTTACAATTCAATTAGATGACTAGAATACTTTAGTAACTATTCAATATTAGAAATGAATAACTTTTTAACATTTTGTATATCTTTGCCGGTTTGAAATTGGTATCTAGATATCTATAACTAGGTATCTATCTATAACTAGATATTTAAAAAGAATTATGTTAATAATAGCAAATAAAAATAAATGTGTACCTCGTTTGTGTCTATGGATTGTCAATTTGTCGATAAAGTAGAAATTGATTGATAAAGTAGGAGTACAAGTCAGTAAGAAAGAAAGTTTAGTCGATTAGATGGCAGCACGCAATTTGTCTGCAGACAAGAAGCATAATAGTGTACAAAGCAGAAATAATACATCGCATGACAGACAACGCAATAGTATATAACAAGGACAGTGACAACGATTAATTCCACCCGTACCACCATTTTACTGCTCCGTGATGATAATATTTCTCTATCTATGAATTGATCAAATTTTCATTTGCAACAAACACCAATTAAAAAGATTTATTTGTGATCTTTCATAGTTGCATCTGTTTAGTCGGTGTTTCTTTCTTTCTTTCTATACATTTATACATTTTATACCATTTTTCTTTCTATACATCTATACATTTTATACCATTTGACAAACAAGAAATTGAATAAAAATAATCAAAACTATATAGAAAACTAGTACGCTGTCATCTGTCGGCAAATAAATAAGTCTACCATTTAAAATAAACATGTATTTTCTATCATTTAAAAAAATTCGAAATATAAAGAACAGTTTCTTTTTAAATAATGAAAAAAGAAATTTGTTTTTTTATTGATAAAATATTTCCTTATATTTATAAAGTAAATAATCCGCTAATTGTTTCGCTTGATAATTATATTTCTTGATTTATGTCAGATATACTGTCAAATGTGTTGACTGTAATTTAATGTAATTATTTATATATCTGTAATTCTGTATAATTAATATAAAATTGTTTTTTTAATTCTACTTGAATTCTCCTACTATTGTGTAAGAACCAATGATAATCGTACTTATTTAATTACTATTAACTACCGATTATAATTGCACAAAGTCTATATTTCCAGTATATATCGTAGAACTCACGATAAATTTTAATTATAGATAAAAATTTCATATCTCTTGATTTCTCAGATTTTAGTGAGAAACTGTTGAGAAAAGTATCTAAATTGATGACAGTAGTACGGACCTTCGACTTCATTCTTGTAAACATTGTGTTTAGATTTATGAAAGTAATTGTTTTTCCCATCTGAGATTCATCAGAGTGCATTTTATATAAAACATTCAATTGATTAAGTTATTTGATTGCAAAACCAATCGTAGAAATCACAAATAATGTGTAATTTTGTATGTGTATGGATACGACAGTCTTGGTTGGTGAGTAACTCTGCCATTAAAATCATTTTACATATTTAACAAATATACTGTCGAGTATTGTAAAAACTTAAGTAAAATAATATTTATTGAAATTTGCCAGATATTATTATTATAGAACAACATATAATCAATTGTATTATTGGATAAATTATTCTACAACGCATTTACTACTGTCCTATGAAATGTCGAAAGATATTAGTTAGTATAAAACGGCTTCCGTATCTTTCAATGTAGAATTTATTATTAAAATTTATTGAAATCATTTTTGCACAGAGTTTGCAATTTTATTTTATTCGAGTTAGGGAAAAAAAGATCTAATAAGTTTATTTTCGTCTGATTTAAGTAAGGTTATGATAATTTTACTATTTTTTTAAATATGATGTTTAATAAATAGTAAGACTATGGATTTTTTGTTTGTATAGTTTGATAATTTAAATTTAATCCTTTGAAGAAAGCAAATGACAAACATATATTTATTGTTTTCTAATTGACTACTTTATTTATAATATATTTTTAAGTGTATTTTAAGTATCGATGATAGTAATTGTTTTTCATCAACAGGACAATCCATGACTTGTTAGATAATCGTAATAGTCTTGGAGTTTTACCATGGAACAAATAAATGAAGTGCATAGTGATATTAATAAAACAGAATTAATAACATTAAATGTACTTTCATCAAATGTACCATCAGAATCAAATACTGATAATGTTAAGAACAAGGAAGATATTTCAGAAAATCAAGAAGATAAGTCACAGAAGTATACTGATATTATAATTCAGAATGCTTTATCAACAAATGAATGTGATGCAACAGATTCAAATAAAAAAATTGAAAGTAAAGAAAGTGTAACAGAAAGCATAGATAATGCTATAATTAACGAAGTAAAACAAGAAATAAAGAATAACGTACAAATTGATGATCAGTGTAAAAAAAATGAAAAATTTCAAGAAGGACAAATAGAAAAGACTAATGAGATTGAAGATAATTTAAAATGTGTTGAAGATACATCCTTACATAAAGAATGTACAAACAATGTCAAAATACTTAACAGAAATGAGGCTGAACAAAATTATGATGAGAAACAAAATGTTTGTACAATATTAAATATAGATACAGTTGATGATACTAATGCTCACTGTCAAGCATTAATTAAAACACTTAGTGAAACCTTTGATGATAAAGACCAAACATTACATGTTACAGATACAGAGGCAGATTTATCTAAACTAGTTGATAGTAATTCAGAAGTAATGGTACTGACTGTAGAAACTATTAATGATTTAAATGAAAGTACAGAAGAAAATATTGTTTTAACTGTACATGAAAAGGACACTGTTGTAAATTCCAATGAAAATAATGTTTCTGTAGAACAAAAAGAAATAAAGAAGACAGAAATTGTAAATGAAGAATTTAATTTAATAGATTATGCTCAAGAAAGTGATGGAACAATTATAGAAGTAATTTCAACAGAAATTGTGGATCCTGAAATTTGTGAAAATTGTAATCAGCAAGGCAATAAAGAAGTATTAAATTATACAGAACCAGAAAAAGATTCTGTAACTCCAATTACTTCAGAAATAATTAATAATCCAGAAACTACAGATGATGTTGATATTAAAGAAGAAAACATAAAGATAAAAAACAAGAATACTGATGGAAAATATAATGTAGAACAAGAAAAAATAAATGGAAATAGTAAGACTGAATCTTTTGATAGTTCACTTAAAATTAATGTAGAAAAGAAAATTATTCATAATAAAATGATCATACCTACATATGTTACGAATACAGAAGGAGAAAATAAATCTGTAAATGAAACAGATAAAGTGGGCACAACTAATAAAAGAAGTGTAATTCAGGATATCTTCGATGACTGGGGTGATGAAAATATAGAAGATGATAGTCAGTCTAAAACACCAGACACTGTGGAAATTGAATTGAAAAGTTTATTAAATGACACAAAAACACAAACAATAGAAGAAAGCACAGTTGTACTACTTGAAGAAGAAATTACATGTATTGAAAAAGAAGAATCGGTTGTAGACAGTGGAAAGATTATAGACGTTGCTAAACAAAACAAAGAAATACAAATATCAAAGGAACAAATGGATAACAGTCAAACAACAAAAAAACAACAAAATAGTATGAAGTCATCGCTTAAAGAACAATTAACTTATTCTATATCACAGGCAGTTGGAAAGTCTACAAAAGATTCAATACATGATACTGTTGCATTTAGTCAAACTTCATCATCACAAATTGTGCCTACTAATCGTCGTAATTTAACCAATCAACGTTCACCAGTTGAAATAGCAGAAGCAATAAAAGAACGACTCCGTGAAAAGCAAAAAATAGTAGAACAACCACCACGACCTGATATAGTTTTTGTTAAAAAACTAACCCAGAGATTATCAAGTAAACTAGTAGGTAATCCAGGAACATCCTTACCAGCACTTATACCATTGCCTCAACCTATTAATCAATCCCAGTGTGATAAAAAACTGGTAGATAATACTAATACAGAAATTAACAAAGAAAGTAATTCTGATAATAAAGAATTGTTAGCAATATTAGAAGGTGATGTCGATCCAGATTGGTCTAATTTGAAACCACCAATTTTAACAGAAGAGGGAAAACGGTCAGTAAAGATTGAACAAAGTGGTTATAATACACCACCAAAACTTGATCCTTTAGTTGAAAGAGAATTAGCATTGAAACAACTTCTGGAATTACCAATTACACCACCTAAAAAAAATGTACAGAAGAAGAAGAAAACACCTATTAAAACATCTAAAGCAGTGAAAACTAAAGTTACATCTAACATAGAAAAAGAAACAACTGAAACTAATCCAATAAATGAAACTACAGAATTTATAGAGAATAAAAATCTTTCTGATACTGCTTCGTCTTCTTCGCTTATTGAATTTCATACTCCAGAAAAGAAAACAGATGTACAAGATGTACGATTAGATGAATCAAGATCAGGTAGAAAACGAAAACTTACAGAAAAAGCTAGAGAACATGAACAACAACAAAATATTGTAAAACGTCAAAAAATATATAAAGGAAAAATTTCACCAGGCAAGAAACAGCCTCAAGAACAAACTTTAACTGACATTAATTTATTAACTGAAAATCATATATCTAAGGAAACTATAATACTTGCTAATGACGAGGCTACAAAAACAGGTGAAATAACAAATAAACATGTCACAAATAATAATAAAGTAGATGTAGCATTAAACAAACTTGATAACATACAAAATGTATGTAAATTAAAACTTTCAAGACAAAATCTTAGTAAAAAAGGATCGCAGTCTCTCGATAAACAAAATATAGTAGTAAAAAAGATATTAAAAAATATATCTTCCAATAAAAAAACTGTTGCTGTAAGAAATAAATTAGGCGCAAAGAAATCAGGGTCAAAGATAGTTTCAAAATCAAAACGATGTACAGAAATCTCTACTGGAGATCCTAAACCAAAAAAGAAGATCATAAACGAAATAGATAGATTACTTCAAGATGAAGGTGTTGTAAATTTGTTATACGATGTAGAACAACCTGATAAAAAAAGATTAGTTCCCATTACTAAGTCCCAAGCAAAAGTTATGGATATACAGAAAGTACAGCGTGAACTTAAACTTAGAAAAAAGTTAGTACGTAATGCAGTTTTAAGATTACGTACTTCAACAGCAGGTGTGTCAAAAGTTTCTCCAAGATCTAAAAGGACTTCTTTATATCTAAATGATATACAAGTAGATAAAAAGATTGGAGATCAAACTGCATCAGCAAAACAAGTGAATTTAACATCTCAAGAGTTTATTTTACCTGCAAAAATAAGAAATGCAGCAGATGCATCCGTTATAATTAGAAGGCATTCATCTAGTTCATTTTCTAGTGCATCTGGAAGTCCTAGAGTTAGTATTGATAGTCCAGAGAAGAATGAAGTTATTAAAGTTGATGAAGGAGGATCCCATTCTTTAAGGTCTACAAAAAGACGATATTCACAAGATGAAAAAGTAAATATAAAAAAAAGTAAAAAGAAGACAATGCAAAAAAGTGATACAGGAATTGATCTTGACACTGTAGAAGATAAAATGGTATTTCCTGGACGTCTCAATAAAAAAATGGATTCAAAAAAGCCTGACAAAAATTCCAAACAACTAGAAACAGATGAAACTAATAATGATTTAGGAAAAATTATTACAAGATCAAATGGTACAACTACAGGTAAAGTAACATCAAAAACAAAGAAAACTACAAAGAACAAAGTTACATTTGCTAAAACAAGTGAATCAGATAACAATGAAGAATTTTGCAAAGAAGATGAACTTTCAGCCTGCCTTGCAGAAGCTGCAAATGCTTTATCAGTAGTCAATGCTGGGAATCGGACTATAAGTTCAACGACAAATCGTAAAAATAAAGGTAAAATAATTGAAAAGAAAAAGAAAAATGTTTATGATAAATTTTTGTATTTTTAGCAAAATAGTAATATTCTTATGTAAAATATAAAGACTAAATATATTTATTTTTTAGCCAATGTAAATATCACTAAAACATTGGAAGCGGATAATAACAAAACAAAAATGGAAACTCGAAGTCAATTTAGTAATAAAGAAATAAATATACGTCGACATGGAAATCTTGTGCAATTAATACTTACACCATCATCTTCAACAAAAATAAGAAATGCTCTAACTCTCCAGGTAATAAAATTATGGACTTAATTTTATTTAGTACTTTTTATTAATTTTATTTAGTACTTTTTATTCTGTTATAAATATATTATTTTATTTATATAATATTATTTTATTTGTTCTTTTAGGTGATGCAAGAATTTCGCGAAACATTATCGATTTTGAAAAAAGATGATGATTGCAAAGTAGTTTTATTAACATCAACAGGAAGTAGTTTTTGTGAAGGTCTTGAATTATCTATGTTGTTACATACAAATAAAGAAGAACGGCGTACGCATGCCCAAGAAGTGGCAGATGCAGTTAAGTATGTACTTATGTTTGTAAATATCATATCTGCATGTTACATATATTTAATTAATTAAAAGATTCACTTTTTTTTATACTTAGGGACTTCATTAAAAATTTAGCATCATTTAACAAACCTATTGTTGCTGGAGTTCAGGGAGCTGCAGTTGGACTTGGAGTAACAATGTTGCCTTTATTTGATCTTGTGATAGCTAGTGATAAAGCAACATTCAGTACACCTTATGGTAAATTAGGACAAATTGCTGAAGGTGCTGCTGTATTCACTTTATCGCATATACTGGGAAGTGCAATTGTAAGTATATTAAACGTTATATCTTTTTCTTTAATCAAGATTTTTATACATAATAAAAATAATACTAAATTTAATTTGCAGACAAGTGAATTATTATTAGGTGGGAGAACCTTAACAGCCAGTGAAGCATTAAGAGCTGGTCTTGTTACTCGTGTTCTGTGGCCTGATAGATTTCAAGTTGAATTATTACCAACATTAAAAGCTATGAGTGAACAATCTTCACAGGTATGTATTTTGTTAGTTAGTATATAATATAAATGTTATCTGAATGTAAAATTATAAAGTTGTGCGTTACACATTTTATATTACTTATGAAGTTGTGCGTTACACATTCTTGAATGGAATACAATAACTTTTATGAGCAGAACCAGAATAAAGTAATTCTTGAACATTTTCCTTGTTTCTATCTTGGAAAATACATAAATGATTTTCTGGGCAAATACATCTATAATATATTGAGTACAAATCAGATCGTATATGTCCACAAAATTCATAAGTGTTGCACATTCTCTTCTATATGAAAAAGTAAAAGATTTATTAAAAATGTTTACAAGTTTTTATTAAAATATTACATTTTTGATACTGTGATAATGTAATAATCACAAACATTTACCTTTATACATTTGAATGTTTGTGTAATAAAATCATCTTCCAAATATGTATTATTTTTATAGCTTCCAGTAATGTGACTCTGGGCAATTATACTTTAACGTTACATTATATGGTATTAGATAAGAATTGTTTCTATCACTTTTATCATAAACATTTATTGCTTCTTGATTATATTTACATATATTGAGTTCTGTTATTGAAACACAAAACTGTAAAAATAAAAAAAATGGTAATTGTTAAATATAGGTTTCAAAAATTTATCTATACATACTTTCATGTGTGATTTATTATTAAGCGAAATAGATAAATTTCCAAGTTCTCTTGTCTATTGCCAAGGACATTATTTTCCATTAGAACAATAACAAAATCTTTCTGTTAAACTAGATATCCAAAATTGGTTATGAATCACATTACATATTTCGTTGATTTTGCATTTATGTAAATCACTTTCCCTATTAACCTGTATTAATATGTATTATATATTCTTTTTATGTATAATATTTTATAATTTAATATTTATATATCATTTTATATATATATAATTTTTTATATATAATTGGATATACATACACCATCCCAATACTTGAATGTACTATTTAATTTACTGCTAATTATAACTTATAATTAAAAACTAAAGCATGTAGTTATCGTAAATAATAGGAAGTAAATTAAAATAAACATTTTTACATTACTAAAATAATATATAAAATCAATGTTGTGTTAGAAATAACAATAGACTTTTTCACTCACATTAGTAATGTATATAAAACTAATTAATATACTATACTGAGTTCTGTTTATTTAATCTCTTGTTTATTCATTTTCAGTCTATGGAAGCTACAAAAGCATTATTACGTCATAGTTTGAGAAAAAAATTAGATGCGGCATTAGAATCTGAAACATATTTGCTGATACAGCATTGGTGTTCTGTAGAATGTCAAGCTGCTATAAAAGCTTACATTGATGGAAAAGTCCAGTGAAATTTAAATGGTAATACTCTGTTTTATCTGTACATCTGTTTTTAATCATTTGTAACTTATATGCTAGAAACGAAATAACGAGAATATTAAGCATGGTTGAGATAATTATTTTCACGAAGTATTAAATATAGCGGTAGTAATTTTATAGTACATACATATAACAATATGCAAAGTGTAAATACATGTTTGTCATTGTTATATATAATTTGTATATGAAATTATATAATATATTATTTCTTTAAAAAAGATTATTTCAAAATTAGTTTTCACATTTATCATCTGTTATTCTATTATTAAACATTGTATATAAAATTATAATTCATTATCAATGATATTTAAAATATGAAAATAATAATGAGTTTAATTAAAATATCTTCTAAAAAGACTTCAAAAAGTTCAATTATGTGCTATAGATGCCTACTGATTTTGAATGGAAGTACATCAAATTCCAACATACCTAGTATTGTAAATTGGATTTGAAGATTAATAACGAGATAATTAATTTGAAGAATACAAGAAAAGAAATCACGGATCTGGTGTGTCATTTTATATCAACCAACGCACGATTATTATATATATACGATTATTATGCATAAAATATAAAATTAATTATTCTGATGAACTATTTTAATATTAGATAATTTAGATATATGGATTTACATGCACGCATGATCACAAAATAAGGTATTTCATGTTACTGTTTTGAATAATTTTTAAATTATTATATGCTTTACCTAAAAAAATATATACAAGGCGTTCGCGAATTTACTGTCTCGTGTTTTTTCTCATAAAAAATAGATGCTATAGAGAAATGAAAAAGGATAAGTACTTTTTTTTGCACCCAATGTAATTTATAGTCGTTGAATTCATCTTCATATTCGCTTTCATATAATATAAAAAAAAAATATAGCCATTTAAAAATTGAAGATCACCTTCAGTTCTCAAAAAGCAGTATGGCTAGAAAGAATTTCTACATATCATTACATTGCGTACAAAAAATAATACAATTTTATCCTCTTATTTTTTCATAGCATCTATTGAAAAAGTTGGACAGTAAATCTGTGAACACCCTGTATTTTTTGTTTTATTCAAAAATAGAAAATATATAGAATATAATCGATTTTGCACAATTTAGTATTTTGTGTAAAAAAAAAATAAAAAATAAATAGCGAAAAAATCATGAAGTAATGCTTCACGATATAAATGCTTAGATATAAAAAAACTCATAATATAAATGCTTAGATTATCCAAGACGATAATATTACGCATCTCATTTTGTATATGTGTGTGTATGTAAATTTTTCATAGTATATTATTATTATAGAATAAAATAAGAAATGACCATTGTAAGCATTAGGGTGAATTTGTGTTCTTTGCACACACATCAATAAATTTTGAACAGAACGTAATCTTAAATTACATATTAAAACGTAATTTATAATTCTTTTATACTTGACATAATGTTGTGCCTTGGTCAATTTGTAAAAGAATAAGAAATATAGATATAGAAGAAGATATTTGTAATTACACTCTGGAAGAAGTACAACAATTGACTGATGATTAAAATAATTTTAAATGTATCAAATTGTTTTTAAATCATTTTATTTGTTGATAACGTACATCATTATATATCTCAGATTGTTTATTTCTATTATTGTTTATATATACTTCAAATATCAACATATATACATAAGTATTTTATATGTATGTATTGATTTCAACAATACAATCATATTAGATATATTTTATGTCAAAAAGCAATTAAATTATTTTATAATACAAATGATGTATTTTACTTCAAAATCATGTAAATCATAAATATAAAAAAATGTATAAAATAGTTATTTTAAAACAACGTAGCGTTATAGATAAGTTCGAAGAAGGATCATTCCATAAAACGGACTTATAACCTTCCTTAAACTTAATGTATGAGATTTAAGGATCATAAGGGGCTATGAAATAAGACTCAAGGCAACATTGAGAAATTTCATTGAATACTGTTCAAAAACATGGAGTATGTTGTAAAGAATACAGTCGCTCTTGTACAAATGTTACACATGTAAGAATAAGCCATTCTAAAACATTGTATTATCATTGAATATAAAGCCCATACAAATATAAAGGAAATATTCACAAGCCAATTTATGTTTAGTATGTATTAAAAATATATAATCACCTATGTTCGTGCACGCACAGGTGCACGTATGTATGTAGTATATATTATATTTGAAATAGTAGTAAATATTTTTAACTGCATTATAACATTAGTTTCTCTTTTATCGATAGGCAACTTTAGGCATATCTTAAACACGAATCATACATCGAGAAGTTGAAAAGTTTGAAGTTATAAACATCATAAAACAATTAACAAAAACTTTATTAATCGCTTTACAGGGGCAGCTATTTCTTGTAGGATCGGCAGTCTGGATGTTTCATCAGAAAAGTCCTATTTCTTTTTTAAGGTTCACTTGTTTCCAAACTGGAAGTTCTTGAAACTCTTCTTTAGTCATACCTAATATTTCCTATTAAAATACATAATATATCATAATGTATCTCTACTTATTAAAATTCACTTATTATAGTAATAGTTTACAAAATTATACTTGAAAATGTTGTTGAGATAAATACAACTCCAAATGTGTAGGATCAACTCCTTGTGGTAGTGGTCGTTGTAATAATTGAGCCGGAGGATACGTACTTTGCGTTAATCGAATTAACTCATTCTCTACAGTCAATACCTCTCCAGGATTTCGACCATCCTAATTATAAACTATCTGTTTGAATCCTAATTTTAATACTTCTAAAAAATGTAAAAATACCTCTATATTTAATTCCGCTATATCATCGCGATATGTCCATGTAGGAAATAGATTTATAAATTGTAAAGGTTCAAGACCAGCCCAGACTAGATAAATCGGATATTTATTAGTTTCTGGATGAATTCTTTGCCAATACTGCATAGCCATTGTCATTGCTGCTCTTCTTTCAGCTTGCCATCTAACTGCTTTACTACCGGATTGGTCCTCTGTTCCAGTGTTGGGCCACCAGCCTTGCCATATCCATAATTCATTTTTGTTATCCAATAAAAATAAGGCTGTAATGATAATTTAATCAGTTTATAACGTAAATAAGAAAAGAACTTTTGATTCTTTATGAAATTATATGAATTACCGGGTTGGTGAACTTGATACAAATCTCCCTGTAGAAAAGGAAATGGAGTTGGCAAAGAAGCACGATGAGGACATAATATTTCTATACATTTAAATTCTTTAGAAATGCTTGATAAATGAAACAGTCTTGGAGTATGTTCCTGTAATTGATCTTTTTCTAATGATATATACAGCTTTTTGTTCATTTGTCCCAATGCTGTGCAATAAAATGTATCTTATTTATTATTCTTATATAACAATAAGTTAATATTAAATATAAATCTTTACCTACCATTAATAAATTCCTCTGGTTCCATTCCTTCATTAATTTCAAGAATTTCTTTGTCATTTATAGATGTTAAACCAGTTTCTTGAGGTTGATTCTTTTTTAATTTAGTTGCTGCATTAATTGCATTCTAAAATGATAAAATGCATTGCATATATAAAAATTATTATTTTTAATATTTTACTTAGTACATAAATCTAAATTTGCAACTGATTATATTTAAACAGAAAAATATGCTTTTTATAATATCTATAATATAACAAGATACCTTTTTAATATGAGGTAAAGAGTTACATCCATGCCATACATAAATTTTGTTATTTTTAGTATCTAGTAATATAAGAGAACCTCTGCTTCGTAATTGACGAGTACTACAAGGAATCTCTATTAAAGACACCTCTGACTCTAAAGTACCACGACATATATATAATCGCCAGCGTTCATCGCACTTTGTATTCATTTTCTTGCCATTATGTACAATCATTTTTCCAGAAAATAAATTGAGAAATGCTGCCGGTTCGTGCCCTTGAACTACACGAATCTGTAAAAAAAATATGTCGATTTAATATATTTATTCCAATATTTATTCTATATTTATTCTAATACTTTTAATTTATATTAATAATTACCTGAGGTGCTTGATCATTATCTAATTCGATAGTTAGTAACGCTGCAGCACCTTGTTCATTCAAAGATGCACTTTGTCCTTGCCAAATAAAATATACTGAGCGATCACGTCCCTTTGCAGAATGTTTTGATGGTAAACCACTAAGCTCACGACCTAGATAAAGAATAATATAGTGCATATCATTAAACAACATATTTAGTTACTTATTTACCAGTAACTGTAACAGAATACATCCAATGCACAATGTAACTATCTGCAGAATAAAATTGTCCAACAGATGAATCGTCTAGAAGACTATGTGAAAATTCATCAATATGCCAAACTTTTAGACCTGTTGTCGTAATAATAAATTGTTTCATTAGCTGAAAAATAATCATTTACATATTTTTATTCACGTATAATTTTTTTTTATTATTACTAAATAATAATTTTGATTACCTCATTGTCATACCAACCAGTGCCTCTACCTAAATGAGTTCCTTCAAGAATGAAATCAACTGGAGTGGTATTTTCTTCTAGTAAATTATTAATATCGCACATTTCTATGGTAACAGTTCCATCAACGTTCTCTTTATTCTTAGTAGCTCGAATTCGTATTATACCAGAAACATTCGGCCAATCAAGAAATTTTTCTCTGAAAAGTATCGTTTCAACATGTTGTGTCAATTTGGCAAGTAAACACCATTTAGGTCTGATTTCAGCAGCTTTCAAATCTGTTTTTGACACTGTGCGTCTACCAATCATAGATGCTGCACTAATTGGACACACAGTACATTCCGTATAATCATATCCTTCTTGCCACATTTCTGTAGCAAGATGTGTAGCAAGCTTTTTTTTATCAGTTGAAGCTCCTTTACCACTCCATATATACATTTCACTACCAAAATCAAATACTAGCACCTTATAAAAAAAAATATAATTACTTATAATTAAATTAATTACAAATATCATATCAAAATATCTACCTTATTTGGATCGAGCATTTCAATTTTTGGTATAGTACCCCAATATTTTTCAAGTGGTACCAATTCTTCATCTTTAATTTCATACACCATATTTGTATCTATCATGAAAGTTTCATAAAGTTCATCTTCATCAGGATGTCCACCCTCAAAAACTATTATTATTATTATTATTATTATTATTATTATTATTATTATTATTATTA